CTAGAGAGATTATATGAATATTCCAAGCTTACAAATTTACAAAATGCACTGGAGGCAAAGCCTAGAAGAAATTTCAAAGTGTCAAAGTAGAAATTGTCCGGGGCAGATTAAACCCCAATTCTGTTACTTAAGAGGTATCAGTGGGTTCTGAGCCCTGCTGACCTTTAAGCTTGCATTGTATTTACACCTGAATTACTATGAATATTATATAAAATAACGTGTGAAACCACAGCACCAACTGTACAATATTCTTTTAATTTCTTGTCCAAGTTTTTAAATCACACTATGTTACTTGCCATCTTAATATGGCTTAGTGATTTATATTTTCCATTCCAATTAATACTGTATATATGTCCCAAGTCATCATATTGCTTTGCAATTTAATTTTGGATTGGGCAGTTTTCTTATTTCAGGGAATTCAGAATCAGTAGTCAGAATCATTTAGAACTGTGATCCCTAACCCCTAGGCTGTGGCCTGTTACCAGTCCATTAGAAAACAGGCCATGCATTACCACCTGAGCTCCACACCACACACACACACCACCCCAGCCCCCCATTCTCAGTCCATGGAAAAATTATCTTCATGAAGCCAAAAAGGTTGGGGACCACTGATTTAGAAAACAGTGATAAGGGGATGGTAATTCATTACTACTTTGCCTGGAAAAAAAAAACCCAAAGTTTCAGATGAAAGAGAAAAGAAAAAAGATAATAGAAGGCTCTATCTTTTGTCCACATGCTCTTCCACGTCCTGTTAGTACCAATCACACTACAGTTATAAATTAGTTTCAAAGTGGTGTACAAGATTCAAAGATTGGTATACCACTGCAACCCTCTCAACTAAGATATAACAAAGGTGATTGTGCTTTTATTTAGGGTTTCACATAGATGTTAAGAAGAATAGAAAATTTCAATAACTGGTAGAATTGGAAGATATGTTACTGATGACATGCCTAATGCCCCTAAATTTACAGAAATGAGGATGTGCCATTACTGATGATATACTCTGGG